TATCTCTCCCCCCTGCGTTCCAGGGAATACAGGTTTAGGAACCTCAAGCGCTCCCCGTAATTGAGGTGTTTTTATCTCCGTTATGCGCGCCGTGAAGGTTCTCTGTACATTTTTACGTCAGCAATTTCACCTGCCTTGAAAGGTGCTGTTAGTGTGCAGCAATATTCCAGCCCAGATAGAACAAGTGACCCGAAAAGTGTCATCATGGGCTTGGCCTCCCTGTTTTGAAGGTTTCATTATCCATCCTGTCATTTTTCTAGCAGATGCGATTGATACAATGTTATGGTCCTTGAAGGTGAGATCCTCCGACATGATCATCCCAGGTCTTTGGGCGTTGGTTTGTTTCGCTCTATTTGTGGCTAGAATTTATTTTGTTTCTCTGATGAAGATTTTTAAATTTTCCTCGTGTTTACCATATCTGAGTAAATTTAAATTCTCATCGTTGAACTTCATATTGTTTTCTGCAGCCCCCTGAAAGATTTGGTTTTTATGTCCGCCTGGAGCCTTGCAGTGTCTGCAATGGAAGACACTGTCATGCAGATTCGGGTGTCATCTGCAAAGGAAGACACGGTGCTGTGGCTGACATCCTTGTCTATGTCGGATATGAGGATGAGGAAACAAGATGCGAGCGAGTAACTGTGCCTTGTGGAACAGAGCTTTTCACCGTAGCTGCCTCGGACTATACTCTGTTGACGACTACTCTCTGTGTTCTGTTAGTGAGGGGAAATTACAGATCCTTTGGGCCGACTTTTCCTGTTATTCCTTTAGCACGCATTTTGTGCGCTATTACGCCATGGTCACACTTGTCGAAGGCTTTTGCAAAGTCTGTATATATTACATCTGCATTCTTTTTTTCTTCAGTGCATTTAGGACCTTGTCGTAGTGATCCAAATGTTGAGACAGACAGGAGCGACCTGTTCTAAACCCATGTTGCCCTGGGTTGTGTAACTGATGGGTTTCTAGATGGGTGGTGACTTGCTTCTTAGGACTGCAGAAAACAATGTGAAGTTCAACAATGAGAAATTTCAAATTTCTCAGATATGGTAAACACGAGGAAATTAAATCTTCATCAGAGTACAAAACAAAATTTTGGCCACAAAATAGAGCGAAACACCAACGTCAAAGACCTGGGGGTGATCTGTCGGAGGATCTCACCTTTGGCCAAAA